TTTGAGTACAGCAGATTATTCCGGTCCTATGATTATTATTCTCCCAGAACAGAAACTTGAAGAAAGACACAGGGTGTTAATAAAGACCTAAAGAGGAGTTGTTACTACTTAGTAGCCTAATATGGAAGCTTTTGGCCAACAGAGCCTACATTGACCACTCCCACCCGACACCTATTTCTGTTTGTAAAAGCTGGCTTGTGGAGCAACTCCTCCCCTTCCCATTCAAACCAAGAGCACCATGAAAAACAGTGCAACAATAAGTGTAAAACTTGCTCTTGATCAAGCTTGATCAAGGCTGTTTCTCGTTCATGCATGGAGACTTTAGTCTGATCCATCCAAACCACAGAATTATCCTACAGAATTCACATAGCTAGTCTGCCACTACTGTAAATACTATAGTTTAAGGAGCTAATGGAAGACATGGGCTAAGGAGAGAGAATGGGAAATCTTTATTAAAAAACAGACTTTTCAAGAAAGCTCCCACTCTGAGGATGTGTGTGTGTGAGCAGGGGCGAATCACAATGGTAAAACAATAGCTTGAGGCTCTTTATATTAAAGTGCTTTGAAATCTACTGATTAAAGGCAATAAATAAGAGTCAGATATTTATTATTATTATTTTATTAAGCAGTCCTTTTAAGATTAGCAACACAGAAGATACAAAGTGATGCTGAAACTAAATTGTTAAAAGTGTCTGAACCCAGCTACCATACACAGGATATTGTACCATGCTAGCCACAGACTTCACATAACCAACGTTTATGCCTTGATCAAACAAGCCCCCTTTGAGCATTAAAAACCACTGCACCAGATTCTTGATGTCCAACTATCAAACTGGCTTTTCCAGAGATCATAGCACAAGTTTGTCAGAAGTTTAAACAGAGCTCAAAAAACTTCTTTCACCTTGTTTCTAAATTACCCAAGTAACAACTCTGCAAGGAGTTTCAAGATCCTACAAGCATTTCTTTTCCCAGCCCAAAAAGAGCAACTAGTCCCTCATATCATCTAGCCAAGTTCCTCAAAGCACCTTCTTCTATTGTGTCCTTGGGAAATTACTTAATTTAACAAAGCTGGACCCAGGCCTACTTCCCTTGTGGACAGATTCTCGGATTATCTTTTCGCTCAGGGCCTACAGTTGTGATATTTACTCAGGTAGAGAATAGTAACCCTCTCCTGATAACTGCTGGATAACCCAACACAATGTCCCATATATCTCTGTATTAATTAAATTACTCCATGCCTGTTTCATAACTCATCTAAAGGCAGCTAGCTAGACTACAAGCTGACATTGGAAGGTACAGTTTTACAAAGGAGATAGGCTCAGACATCTAGTTAAAGCTAGCGTGAAACTCAGATGCCAATTTAGCACTCCTAGTGACGGAGAAAACTGCTTCCAATAAAAACTGGCTATGAGAAATATCCAGGACCCTTGTAACTGAAGATAGTCTTAGGGTGACAGAACACAGAGGGGCTTCTGTCATAGACAACTCCTTACATCATCATCTTCCCCATCCCTGTGTTAGGACTTTATTCACAGGATTCTTGCCTATTTCACAGCTCTCCCTGCCAAAATCCCATTGTAGGATCTCTTGAGGAAGAGTATTTATTCATGCTCACCTGAACATTTCCTTTCTTCAGACAAGACAGGTCCAGCCTCCCCTTGTTATTTTTATGAGGAAGATTATGGATATCAAGATATCTGAAGTAATCAAAAAGAAAATTGGTTCATGTGCTCTGTGGCTCTTTAACAGCTGGAACATATTTCTGAGATAGTGACTGACAGATGTGGCTCTACCTTCAAACTGCAAGGAGGCTAAAGTGCCAGTGTAGGATCAGGGGACCTGGCAATGCATAATAATTTTAATACCTAGCTCTTATATAGTACTTTTTATCACTGGATCTCAACTGTTTTTGCAAAGGAGGTCAGTATCATTCATCTCCATTATCCTATATCACAGATGGAGAAACTGAAGTAGAAAGAGGTGAAGTGACTTGCCCAAGATCACCCAGCAGGCCAGTGGTATGGTATAATCGGTAGAGCACTCAGCTAGCACTTGAGATTTGGGTTGTATTCTCAGCTCTGCCACTGGTTGCTGCGTAAGCTTGGGCAAGTTACTTAATCAGTCTGTGCTTCAGTTTTCCCATCTGTAAAATAGGAATAATGATATTGACCTTCATTGTAAAGCACTTTCAGATCTATTGATGAAATGTGCTATATAAGACCTAGGCATTAGTATTACAAATCAAAAGATGAAGTGATACATGCTAAATACTATTGTTACCCCTTCTGACTTGAGTCAATATTGGGGAGGAGGGCAGGTTGTTTCCCTTAGAAAGAGAAATTGATAATAGAGTCAGATATTTCTTTGCTGCCATCTTGTTTATTTACAAAGAATATACAAAATCCTATTTCTCTGAAAATGGTAGGAATCAAACAAGAGGCAATTTATCTGCTCACAGTTCCAAACCTCTTTCCAGCCAGCCGCCTTCCCAAGAAGTTCTCTCTCTTAGCTTTCTCTCAGGGCTATGTTACCAGTGCTTCTCTTGCTGGCTGCTTCTGCCCACAGACACACACCTCCACCAATCAATACTCAGCCTCCTACATTTTCATTCAGCCCCCAGCAACACACACCTGTTCACAGAGCTCAGTTTCTGACTGGCTGCAGCCTTGCATGTGGTCTGTGTTTTGAGTAGTGCTTCTGTTGTTTCAGCTACCTTACTCTAAAAGTTGCTTCCTATATTCATCCAGAATGAAGGACAGCTATCGTGTGCACCAGCTTCAACAAGGTTTCACCCAACCTCCAACATAGCAATATTATTAATTAACCCCGTTCCAGGTTAGACATGGTTTCTGCCACTAACCACCACACAGGTTGGAAGCTGTTAGTTTCAATAAGGCTGGATATTAACCATATCATTATACTCTTCGAGTTCCAAGGCCAAACAGGAGTCACTGGTAAGTACCATCATCACATACTGATCCTTGCCCAAGTTGCTACTAGGGTAATGAAGCAAATAATATGAAGACAAAAGCCTCTTTGTCATGCCGCCACTGCAGACATGCATCTACTGCCAGGGTCCCTGGCTTTAAACTACAACTATGGCTTGTGTCTGATGAAGTGGGCATTCACCCACGAAAGCTTATGCTCCAATACTTCTGTTAGTCTTAAAGGTGCCACAGGACCCTCTGTTGCTTTTTTACAGATTCAGACTACCACGGCTACCCCTCTGATACTTGACAACTATGGAATTGTTTCAGCTATTTCAGGCAGCAGCCAAAGAGATCGTTACAGGATCCAAACATTAGTCAATCCCTTGGACAACTGTGAGGTTTGAGCAGGTTGAATCTCTCTAATATCAAAAATAAGCTCATCTTGGCTAACCTCAGGATATTCTCTGCATTTACTGGGATCGGGTAATTAAGGCAGAATTTCCAAAACCTCCTTGTTAGATCAGCTAGCGCCCAGGGGAGGGGGTCCTGAACTTTGCTAACTAGACCACAGGGCGCAGAATAGCACACCCCCGAAACTGACCTATTAGATTTCATGGCTGAAGAGAATCTCAGTATCACTCTTCCAATCCAGTTCTCTCTATACTTGTAACCAAAACTGAAGTTCCCCCTTGACCTGGATTTAAGGATTCTTCATAACAACACATCCTTTGAAGAATACACCCCCAACTCCAGTGATCCTGAGGCTGAAGAGAGAAGGTTGGGTCTAGCCTGATCATTCACAGACACCAGCTTCAAGTTTAACACATTAAAATTTCCCCCCACCTTTGTAAACGGTACTTAATAGGCTCAAAAATAGAATGCTTAATGAGACCACCTAAACTCATGAACAAACAGTACCCAGAGTCAGGCTAGATCAGTAGTTGCATAAGTAATCTATGGCTACCTGTGTGTTGACAGAAGTACTAGGTCAGTTAAAGCCATGGCAGTCTTCGCTAAGGTGTAAGAGTATTGTGCTGTAGGAGATGCTCTCTTTTTGAATTAAACATAAAGCTGAATTTCTTCCCTTATGTGATTATTAAAACAGGTGGCAATTTCACACTATGGGAGGCTGGTGACAATTAGGTATTTACATTCTAATTTCAAATGGCTGCAGCATTCCACCATTCCTAAACTGTCACAGTGTGTGGCTGTGCCCTGTGAAATCACGGTCCCACTCCTACCATTGAACCTGAATCATTTCTGATTGCATGATTGCAATGGTCCTAGGCACTATTTATTCTCAGATATGCAAAAAGCCCTCTGAAAAGATGTGAAGCAGGAGGGCATATTGCTTGACTAGATTCTGCAATGCGAGCAATAACCAGACCCAGATTGCTTGCTTGCTGCAGAACTCCTCTGTTTCTGGTTGTGTATAAAAGTCGCCTGAGCTTCATATTGCTATTTTGTACTGAAGGAGATGCATTTGACAATAATTATTAGGTGCTGAAGTGGAGCCATGACAACTTCTGTTTTTAGCATGCATGTCAGTTTTGTTCTCCAGTTTGAGAATACAGAATACATAAATTGACCCCATTCTGCAATACTGACAATTTTCCTCACATCATTTAACCTCATAAGCCACTGCTGCAGGCAACAACATGGTGGTATCCAGCATAGATTTCAAAGCAAACTCCACTTTTCAAGTACATTTTTGAAGGCCAGTGTCCTAAATGAAGCAGTAACTCTCAATTTATTACACATCAAACCATGAAGAATTTGTCAAGCGTCTAACATACTGCTAAAACACACACAGTAGAGAATTTGTCCATTACATTGCATTGCATATTAAACAGCTAAGCTATATACATTTTCACATGTAGTTTTAATTTCAGGTGACCTACGTATTTACACTCTTTAATCAATGCTGTTTTGAAATGTATGTAAACAGGTACCACAGTACATTACTTAAAACAACATTTTAAAAAATATGTTCCTTTATAAAAGGTTTTAGCACGATGGCAGGTCAGCTGAGAAAAGCTCACATCACAAGTTTGTGGATAAGGAGAATACCACAAAGCCTTATAACCTGTACGAGCACAAATATTCATCAAATACTTTAAAAGATTGTGTTTTAAATCAATTGATTACATGGACTTAATTTTTGTTCAGCGGATACAAGTTTTATCACAATACTGATCCATGAACTCTTGTGCTTTCCAAGTGGCAAATATTCTATGGAAATAAAAAAAAATCTCTAAACAACATATGATATAAGTTAGGTGAAAGTGTATTTGTTTCCCATTTCAGCAGAGGAATCAAAGTTTACTAGGTGTCCATAGGGGGCCAAATGCAGTTCATCCTGCTTATTACTTCTTCCTCTTAGTCTCTTCTCCAGTGTCTAGTTTGCGTTTCTTAGCAGAAGCTGGTTCATCTTTTTCGTCATCTTTAAATAAAAGATGGTGTCAATTAACACAAGTATAATATATGAACTCAAGCTGGAAAGTTAGTATGTGTTGTCACATACCCTAGCCTCTTGCCAAACCAATTTATTTTTCCACTTCTGAAGATCCGTTGGAACCACACACACTAGGACTGGCGGATAACATCCCCACTCTTGGAATGGACCAAAGTGTTAGTAGGAAAGATTAATTATTTTTATTATGGTAGTGACTAGGGGCCAATCATGCTAGGCATTGTACAAACAGCAGGAGATAGATCTTTGGGGCAGGGACTAACAATTTAAATAGACAAGACAGACCAAGGATAGGAAGAGAGATATTACATATAATCAGAGAGTGAGGGTCTGCAGATTTCATGTTTGTTGTACAATGTCTTTTTAATCTTTGGGTGGGATTTTGTTAGGAGGGGAGACAAAGGAAGGAGGACAGGATAGTAGTGAAGAGGGAAGGAAGAAGGGGAGCATGCAGGGCAGGCGAAATGAAGAGTGGGAGGAAAAGGGAGCAGGAGCAAACAGTCAATATTCAGAGTGAAACTTAGAAAGCAGTTAGATGCCATCCTCAGATGATGATGCTCCCTTTGTCAATCAAGTTCTCAATGAGCAAGCCTAAGTACCTCACTGATATCCAAGACAATACTGAATGTTTCAAAAGAAACATTTTCTACTTTTAGCTCTATTCTTTACAGCTTGTCTTGAGTTATTCTCACACACAAACACATTTAATATGTAGTTGACAAAAAGAACATTCAATGACATATACGGCCAATTCTTCCAACCTACGGTATCAAGATGTTTAGGTGCGAGTATTATAGATGCTCTTCTAAAAAACATCTTTCATTTACAGCTCCTTTTATCCTGAAGTACTTTGCAAATATCATAAATACAAATAACCTGGCCTACCACTGAAATATAGCTACTTCTGGGGTGAAACACAGCAGTAGTTCTCATAACTAAATTTTCTTTTACAGTTTTGAATGTAAAACCTGTCCAAAATTGTTGGATCTAACCTTGCTACTGAACCACAGACAACATAATTTTGTGACGAGAGGAAGAAAATAAGGCAGCCAGATAGTACAAGAGGAAGAGGAACAGCAGGCCACCAATGGCCTTGCCCCAAAGATCTCTACAGCAGAGCCTGGTGACGTGCACCACCTTATTTGTATTTTGTATTAACATCTTTCCCTACAGCACATGTAGCAGTATTCAGCAAATCCACTTTTTTATTCACATTCATGTTAAGCTTAGTACATATATGACTGTGGAAAGCACAGCCACATTATGTCATGACTACCTGGAGAAGAAAGAACTATCAAAGAAACACAATGTAGGAACTGCACTTACTATTGGTTCACTAAAGCAGATAGTACATTTTTAATGAACTATTAATTATAGGGCTGACCTTGAACTATTAGGTGATCAATGGTTTCAAGCTTTGATTTATGAAATTTGGATGCTTTAACTTTACATGGTATCCTATGAGAATCTTGACTCTTTAAAATCAGGTATGTATTACATTATAATTATTATTTCATCCCTTTTTCCAAGTTAAAAGTTCAATATAACAAAACCAAATGTTTGATAAAAGAGAAGCTTCAAAGAGGATTTTGGAACAGCAGAATATGAGCAAGAGAACATTTAACAACCCCAACAACAAGAGAGAGAATTAATGTAACTAAGCTCCCTGGGACTGCATCCTGCAACAACCTATAAATTAGCTCTATAGCACATGGTTACTTGGAAAATGGTTTATTTGTCCCTTTCTGATGAGTTTCTTAATACCTGCTTAGAAAACGAATTAAAATCATTATGATTTTCCTCCTAATAAGAGGAAATTTTATAACAGGATTTTACACATAATCATTCTTGAGCCACTAGTACAGTACTAACTTACCATATATTAGATATTGCCCATTATGGAGGAGGGGAAAGAAGGAAACCCAGGAAGGCCAAACTAAAAGCAGATCACATAATACACACCCAAAAAGAACCATCCCTTTTTATTTTTCAGACCCTTCTAGGATTGCCAGGAGTCCGGTTTTCGACCAGAACACCTGGTCAAAAAGGGACCCTGGAGGCTCCGGTCAGCACTGCTGGCCTGGCAGCTAAAAGTCCAGTTGTTCATAGCGGCTGGCTTGTCCCTCCGGCTCCTAGGCACAGGAGCAGACAGGGGACTTTGTGCGCTGCCCCTAGCCTGCCCTGCATCTAGGAGCCAGAGGGACATGTCGCTGCTTCTGAGCGCTGCCTGAGGTAAGCGCTGCCAGGAGCCCACACCCCAAATTCCCTCCCACACCTCAACCCCCTGCCCCAGCCCAGAAGTCCCCTTCTGCACCCAAAGTCCCTCCTGGAGCCTGCACCCCCGTGTAACACCCCAACCCCTGCCCCAGTCCTGAACCCCCTCTGGCATCCCAACCCCCTGCTGCAGCTTGGTGAATATGAGCCAGCGAGCAAAGGTGGGGGAGAGCAAGCAACGGGGGGGGGGCGGATGGACCGAGCCCAGGGCAGGGCCTCGGGGCAGGGCAAGGTGTTCGGTTTTCTGCAATCAGAAAGTTGGCAACCCTAGACCCTTCACCAGATTAGATAATTTCCCACCTGATTCTGAAGGCTCTTGCTCCTCTTCTGGTAAAAAGTTAACTTTGTTTGTTTGCTGTGGAGCATCATCTCCATTGTCCTCATATATGTTAGACCATTTTATTGCCATATCAAGCTCAGGAGGTGGTGGCGGCTTCTTTTCCTTAATACTGTAAATCTCAGGTGGTGGTACTGCATTAGTCTTCCACACTTTGAATTCCTTAGGAGGCTGTTGAAGAGAACACAACTGTTTACAATGCATTGCAACAAAGCGAAGTAGAGCAGAAAGCGAGAGCCTCACATTACGTCAAACCAAAGGAGATCTGATCTCTGGATTACCAAAAACAATTACCCGAGGGGCCCTGGCATAGGGTGACCAGATGTCCCGATTTTATAGGGACAGTCCCGATTTTGGGGTCTTTTTCTTATATAGGCTCCTATTACCCCGCACCCCCATCCCGATTTTTCACACTTGCTGTCTGGTCACGCTACCCTGGCAAGGTTAAACAAGAAAGAGACTTTCCCCTAAAACAACAAAGGGGAAAACCAGAAAACTAAACCCCATGCCCCCAGCCCAAAGAAAATGGCAAAGATTCAATACATTCTGTGAGGAGAAGTCTGATTTAGACACCTCTGCAGGACTATTTTTTAATCCTGCTCCTGCCCCTACCCCACAATACTGACTCCTACTGTTACCCAATCGGGCTGCAGGGCTCTACCCTGGCGTTCCTCCCTGTGCACCTGTTGGGAAGAGGGTCTGGCAATCTCACCAGGCTCTGTTCGAGGGCCTTGCTCAAGGGCAGCGATTTCTCAACCTGCAGCCCAATTAGCAGACAGCTGCGGCCCAGCTGGGTGCTAAAAAAAAATTCAAAATGTGTTGCTCTGGTCTAAAAAGCGGCGGGGCTGGTCCAGGGGGAGACAGTGTCTGGCAGCCTACTAGAGCGCTACTGCCAGCAGGGCACTGGTGAGTGCCGCAGGGGGCAGGTGCGGGAGAGTGGGTCTCTGGCCAGGGTTGTGGGAAGGAGGGGGGGGGCATCCCCAGGTTTTAGGCTACCCTCCCTTCCGGGGCAGGGTCTCTGGGCATAGAGAAGTGTGGGGGTTTATTGGCGGGGGGAGGGCGCTGTGGTTCTCAACCTGCGGCCCACGACGATAAATAGGTTGAGACCCACTGCAGAAGAGGGTCATAGTGTCTTTGACTAGCGGGAGCCCCCCTTGGCTCCTAGGGGGCGGGAGAGACTCCGCCCCGCTGTTCGCAGTGGCTTGGGGCTCTCCCTGGTGCCGCTCGGGGACACCGCGCCCAGCAGCACAGGGCCGGGAGGGCCCCGCGCAGACGCCGGGCTTTACCCGAGAGCCCCCCCCCCCCCCCCGTACCGCGCCGGAGCCCCCCCGGCCTCACCTCCTCGGGCGCCCGCACCACCCGGCGCTCCCAGTCGATCTGCTTGTTGAGCGGGTTATAGAGAAAGGACGGCGGCCGGGACACGTTCCGGAACAGCTCGTCGGGCCCGGGCAGCCGCGGCTTCCGGCCCGGGCTGCCCCCGGCCGCCTCCCCAGCAACCCCGGCCGCCTCTCCCCCGGCGGCGCGCGGCTCGTCGCCCTCGGAGTCCGAGCTGGAGCTGCTGCTGTCGCTGCCGTAGGCCGCGAAGTAGCCGAGCGGATCCTTCCCCTCCGCCGCCATGGCGGGGCTGGCACTGGGGACACCCAGCGGCCGCGGAAACCCGGCCTGGAACCAAACGTTCCGGGCGCGAGAGAGGCCGAGGAGCCAGGCTCCCTCAGGGGGTCGCCCGCCAGGCAGCCAGGAGCGCCGCCCTTGCCCAGGTAGCTGCCCCGTCGTCCCCCTCGCACACAGGGATCCCACTGCCCGCGAGGGGGCGGGCACCCCGGACGTGCTCTCCCCCGGCCCGGAAGCCCGACGCAGGCCCAGTGACTGGACTGGTAGGGAGAGCTCGGCACGAGGAAGGACTGTGACTGTTTAGAGATAAGATGGGGGTAGTGTGACCAGATGTCCCGATTTTATAGGGACAGTCCCGATTTTTGGTTTTTTTTCTTCTCTAGGCTCCTCTTACCCCCCACCCCCATCCTGATTTTTCACACTTGCTGTCTAGTCACCCTACATGGGTAGGGTTACCATATGTCCGGTTTTTCCTGGACATGTCCGGCTTTTCGGCAATCAAACCCCCATCCGGGGGGAATTGCCAAAAAGCGGAACATGTCCGGGAAAAATGCCATCCGGGCACTTCCCCTCCCGCGGCTGCTCTGTGAGTCCTCCCCTCTCAGACTTCGGCTCTGTAAGAGCCAAGCTGCCCAAGCCAGCGCTACTGGCTCGGGCAGCCCCCCTTGCCTCCGGACCCCAGCCGGGCACTTCTCCTCCCCGGCTCCAGCTGCTGTGCTCCGGATTACTACTACCCTCCTTTGCTGCATAACATCTGAGCTAGCCATTCAAGAGGTTTTTTTAAAAAAATGCTAATTATCAATGAAGGAAAAGTCATCTCTGATAGCCAAACAAGTGTTACATGTTCAAAAGCCCATGCCTTCCTCAATCTAAGAAAAAACACTTTATTATTTCAGAAATGGAGGACAGTAACCAACTGTGAGATTGAGAAACAGTATCAAACACACCAACACCTAGCAGTGCATTGCATACTTTGTGACAACACTGAATTCCATACATATCAAAAATCTTACTATGAAAGCTAGAACCAATAAAAACATACCAAAAGAACCCCCCAAACACATACATCTCCTGTAAGTGGAAAATAGTGGGGTCATTAAAAACAGGCAACATTCATGTATAGAAACTGTTAAACAAGCGGAGACACACAAACACTGGTTTGAAGGAAGGTTGGGAACAAGTCTTAAGAGAAGAACAGGATAATAAATCTGGTAAGTAATTTTAATGTAAAGAGTGACCAGAAAGCATCCTCTTTGCATGATTCCATACAGTGCACAACACAGGATAAAGTTTTCCAAAAGTTATTTTGGATAGCTGCTATACTCAAGAGTTGTTGGTGGTCTTTCAATCATTAATGTATATGTTGGAAATGTAAAATCCATTAGGGTTACTTGATATACATGAAGTTAGACTTGCTTAAGATTATAGAGCTTTATAAACTAGAAAGTATGAGCTTCACCTTGAGCTTAGAGAATGGATAGATAAATTGTGGAATCCTCTAGTGGCCTGGATTGCTTGAATCCAAAAACTGAGCGCCGGGGCAGATCCTCCACTGGTGTAAACTGAGCAGCTTCATTAAAGTCATGGGAGTCTACACTAGTGGAGTGCCTGACTCTAGAATTGGTGCAGCTGTTTCGTGTGGCTGGGAGGGAGGAGGGGGAATGCGGGCCACTCAGGGGAGGGGGCGGAGACTTTGGGGAAGTGGTTGGAATGGGGGCAGGGAAGGGGCGGAGTTGGGCAGGGCCGGGGGCAGGGAAAGGGGCGGGGAAGGGGCGGAGCCAGGGCCCCGTGGAGTGTCCTCTTTTTTCAATGTTCAAATATGGTAACCCTATACATGGGGGATCTGAGAGCGCCATACAAGATGCTGCTGGTCGGGCACAAGGGGCCCTGTCCCATCACTTTCCTCATAATAGTAACAAAACAGGGAAGAGGACATTCAAAGAAACCGTTAGAAAACAGATTTAAAACTGATCAAAGGAAATATGCTTTTTACACCACTCATCATTAACCTGTAGGACTCATTAAAGAGGCATAGTAGCTATTTACATGGATGAGAACATACACAAGTAAGAGTATCATAGAATCATAGAATATCAGGGTTGGAAGAGACCTCAGGAGGTCATCTAGTCCAACCCCCTGCTCAAAGCAGGACCAATTCCCAACTAAATCATCCCAGCCAGGACTTTGTCAAGCCTGACCTTAAAAACCTCTAAGGAAGGAGATTCCACCACCTCCCTAGGTAACCCATTCCAGTGCTTCACCACCCTCCTAGTGAAAAAGTTTTTCCTAATATCCAACCTAAACCTCCCCCACTGCACCTTGAGACCATTACTCCTTGTTCTGTCATCTGGTACCACTGAGAACAGTGTAGATCCATCCTCTTTGGAACCCCCTTTCAGGTAGTTGAAAACGGCTATCAAATCCCCCCTCATTCTTCTCTTCTGCAGACTAAACAATCCCAGTTCCCTCAGCCTCTCATAAGTCATGTGCTCCAGCCCCCTAATCATTTTTGTTGCCCTCCGCTGGACTCTTTCCAATTTTTCCACATCCTTCTTATAGGGTGGGGCCCAAAACTGGACACAGTACTCCAGATGAGGCCTCAGTAATGTCGAATAGAGGGGAATGATCACGTCCCTCGATCTGCTGGCAATGCCCGTACTTATACAGCCCAAAATGCCATTAGCCTTCTTGGCAACAAGGGCATACTGTTGACTCATATCCAGCTTCTCGTCCACTGTAACCCCTAGGTCCTTTTCTGCAGAACTGCTGTCAAGGCTGTATCCCCACTTTGAACTTTAGGGTACAAGTGTGGGGGCCTGCATGAGGACTTCTAAGCTTAACTACCAACTTAGATCTGGTCTGCTGCCACCATTCTCTTCCCTGGGAAGCTTTGAGAAACCTTTCACTAATTCCCTGGTGAATACAGATCCAAACCCCTTGGATCTAAAAACAAGGAAAAATCAATCAGGTTCTTAAAAAGAAGGCTTTTAATTAAAGAAAAAGGTAAAAATCATCTCTGTAAAATCAGTATGGAAAATAACTTTACAGGGTAATCAAACTTAAAGAGCTCAGAGGACCCCCTTCTAGTCTCAGGTTCAAAGTACAGCAAACAAAGATAAACACTCTAGTAAAAGGTACATTTACAAGTTGAAAAAACAAAGTAAAACTAAGACGCCTTGCCTGGCTTTTTACTTACAAGTTTGAAATATGAGAGACTTGCTTAGAAAGATGGGGAGAACCTGGATTGATGTCTGGTCCCTCTCAGTCCCAAGAGCGAACAACCCCCTTAACAAAGAGCACAAACAAAAGCCTTCCCCCCCACCCCCCAAGATTTGAAAGTATCTTGTCCCCTTATTGGTCCTTTGGGTCAGGTGTCAGCCAGGTTACCCGAGCTTCTTAACCCTTTACAGGTAAAAGGATTTTGGAGTCTCTGGCCAGGAGGGGTTTTATAGTACTGTACACAGGAGAGCTGTTACCCTTCCCTTTATAGTTATGACAACTGCTTCCTAGCCATTCGGTCCCTAGTCTGTAACAGTGAATGGGAGTCTTCCGTCCTAAGTGCAGGACTCTGCACTTGTCCTTGTTGAACCTCATCAGGTTTCTTTTGGGCCAATCCTCTAATTTGTCTAGGTCCCTCTGTATCCTATCCCTACCCTCCAGCGTATCTACCACTCCTCCCAGTTTAGTGTCATCTGCAAACTTGCTGAGAGTGCAGTCCACGCCATCCTCCAGATCATTAATGAAGATATTGAACAAAACCAGCCCCAGGACCGACCCTTGGGGCACTCCGCTTGAAACCAGCTGCCAACTAGACATGGAGCCATCGATCACTACCTGTTGAGCCCGACGATCTAGCCCATTTTCTATCCACCTTATAGTCCATGCATCCAGCCCATACTACTTTAACTTGCCGGCAAGAATACTGTGGGAGGGACAGCCTTGATTGACTGCTTTGAAAATCACAACCCTCTCATGCTTCAGCATGTACAGTAGGCCAATCACCAACTGATAAGGGCTAGTGCAGGGGTTCTCAAACTTCATTGCACCGTGAGCCCCCATCTGACAACAAAAATTACTAGACGACCCCAGGAGGGGAGACAAAAGCCTGGGGTGGGGGGCACAAAGCTGAAGTCCCACACCGCTCAGGGGTGGGGGGCTGTAACCTGAGCCCCACCGCTGAGGGCGGAAGAGCTTGGGCTTCAGCCCTGGGACCCAGCAAGTCTAAACCAGCCCTGGCAACCCCATTAAAATGGGATTGCGACCCACTTTGGGGTCCCAACCAACAGTTTGAGAACCACTGGGTGAGTGTAAAAAAGCCCTCTGGATAGGTTATTCCGTAACAGTCAATAGTAGTACAAAAAGCTCAAACCCTTTATTTTCATGTGGATTCCAATAAACTTATTTTATTTTTAGTGTACTCTGATTAGCCTCAGGCAAATATCTTACACAAATTTGGAGTTGGAGTACTCCTATATTTGATGGAAAAACTAACCACCACTCTATTTTGTTTGCCTCAGCTGAGATCTTGTTTATATTCACTAGTAGGCTACATTGTACAACAAAGGCAAACGTATTGGAGTTTGCATTTTACAATTATTTGATCCTACATAGGTATACAAATGGAGGTAATGCTGAGAAATATATTTGCTTTAAAAAAAAATACAGACCTTATCTAGAGAAGACTAAAAAGGGTGTTAACTAATAGTCTAATGCCTTTGAAAAGTCTAGTATAGACAAACCTTTAAGTTTAAAACGTGCTAAACCGCTCACCTATGTAGGAACTTAAGCTTTAACCCAACCACTTAGCCTGTGTTAAAATATACAGTGCTTTCAAAAATGTTCCAATACCTTGTTTGAAAAGTCATGTAGATAAGGCCAGTGCCTCCTTTTTTTTAATTCTACCTAGCTAACAATTTAAAAACACCCTTAACATCTAGTTTAACAATTACTATCACATTAGTTGAGGGGGATTAAACACCTAGGTTATGTAACCAGCTAGCTCCACTGTAGAAATATTAAAACTGTGTCTACCCTAATATTAAGGGGTATATCAAAAT